ACTGTTTCATATTTTAGGCGAGTCAAAGGTTTATGATTGTTATGGTTGCGAAATTAAATAGGGATAACGGGGCTTTACGCATAAGTTTATAGATTTGTAAAATAATATTGGTTTCAAGCTGTTTATATTTTACTTAAATATATTTAAACTACCTAAAAAATATATTTTTGAAATTTTTTATTGATTACATAAATACTAATGGTAGTTTAAAAATAAAAATTTCAAGTGTTTGATAAACTAATTTGAAATAATATGTTTTATAAAAGGAATCAAAAAATTACTTTTTAGAATTTTAAAAGCTACTTTTGACCTGGTTAATTACAAAAGAACACCCAAAACATAACTGAAATTCTAATTTGTTTTTTATAAATTATTATTTTTTAATTAAATTAATAATGTAATTAAAAAATTAAAAATTAAAAACATTGTTGAATTGTTTGGAGTGGCACTGGACAACAACCGATGATATTGGTCGAACTTCGTCATTGGAGGCGTGTCTGGCGACATCTCCAACTCCAATGGGTAGATCACCGATCGGTCAAATCAATAGAGCAATTAGAGTTGTCGTCAACTGTGGCATTTGACCATAGATATCCAAAAAGGTTCGATCGACATTTTCCAAATTACTGCAGTGAAAAAGCTAGAGTCGGCGACCTCTTTGATTGCTCCATTGTGTAGATCGACTGACGCTCTGCCCAGAGGTGTCGCCAAACGTGCCTCCAATGGCAAATTCTGGCCATCATCATTGGTTGTTGCCCGATGACACTTTAAAAATTCAACAATGCTTTTCATTTTTATATTTGAAACCTTTAGTTTTAATATATTTTAATAATTAAAAAAACAACTATTATAGTCATTTTACATTTGTCACCTACCATTTTTCAAAAGTAAAAGCAATTTAAAATTTTCACACGAGTAAACTTTTATATTATTCATAAAGTCGGGTCGAAAGTGATTATAGAAGAAGCAACTTAATAATTAATTTTTTACTAAAATTAAGTGAGTTGAAAAAACTAAAATTTATAACTTTTAACTTAATCATAAAGTATTTGAATTGTTTTAATGAATAATTATATTGGATCAGATATTTTATAACTTAAATTGTAAATTTTTTAAGTCATTTAAAATAATCTAAGAGATGAAAGAAATAAATGTAAATATATTTATTGCATTAGATAGATGGTTATTAAATGATGTCAAAAATTTAATTTAAAAAATTAAATATTAGCAAAATGAAATCCCATGTCTTGTGTTACCTGGTTTTGTTGTCATCAACTCTTACAGCGAAATTGTGATTTTGTCATATCTTATGTTGCCCAATGAATAAGTTTGGGATTCAGTTTTTAAGGCTTGAGTTTGTCAAACTAAGTAGACACATTTTCAGTGAAACCAAAAAACAAACCCGTGTATGTTTGGTCCCAAGACGCCTACTAGTGGGAGGTTTATCACATCCAATATCGCATAATTAACTATAACATATGACTTTAATTGAACCCACTCAAATTTTAAAAAAAATGTTACATATTTTATAGTATTTACAATTTTGATTCCACTTAAATTCATATTGAGACCACCCCAGTTTTAAAAAAGAAGAAGAAGGTTTTATATTTTATAATATTTACAATTTTGACTTTATATAAATTCATATTGACCCATAAAATTTTATTGTAAATTTATCAACTTAAATGTTTTTAACTCATTCACTAAAAATCTTGGCTATGTCCCTATGCATAACAAACACTTAGTCCTTAAGTGGACATACTAACAATTTCTACCTTTATGCAAACCCACACATTTTTATTTTATCACCAGGGGTGTTCGGCTAGCTTGCATGTACCTCAAATAATCTCTGGGGCCTTAAAACTACCGATCGGATAAGAGCCACAGTGGCCACCTCTATTAATGTCTGGGGAGACTCGAACTCATAGAACATTCTTTTGTTCTTTTACCATTAGGTCATCTAGTGATGGTCCACAAACCCACACATTCACCTAATTGAATATACGCCTTTTGGATAAACCTCTGCAAACCTGATCCCAAAGTGGATTATTTTTACTTGATTGGACTAGACAATTTCTAGAGAGTATTTCTGCTTGATTGAACCAAACAATTTATAGTAGACAATAATGTTAAACGTGTAAATAAATTTTACAAAATTTTTTGTACAAAATGATGTGATTGAAAATGAATAGAAGAGTGAATATGACTTTTGTATTAATTATTTCATTCGTTTCTCGCCGTCTCGCTTTGTACCCAAATTTTGGTAAGATTTGTTTGAAAGTATATCGTTACTTTTCTAGTAGATTTGACAAGTTAATATTACTCTATTTTTAATATTATTTGTACTGCTTTTACGTGATAAATAATGTATAGATAGAAACGGGGAAACAAGGGATGGTAGCAAAACCGAACAGTTAATTTCAGGAGTAAATAACAGAGGAAGTGTGAACGAGAGTAGAGCAGTGAAAGCTGGAGACCAATCACCACTTTTATAGGGTTCTCTTTTGTAATGTCATATCAAGTTATCAACCACAGAAGAAAGGAAACGTCAACAACTACTGCTTTGATTATTAAATTTTTCCTAGTATTATAATGAAGCGGTCAATTATTGATTTTTTTTTTTTTTTTTTNTTGATGCTTTGTGATCATCATCCGACATTTAGTAGAAGTGGGTTGATGCTTTGTGATCATCACCCGACAGTGACTAGAGACGGGTTAATGCTTGGTGATCGTTACCCAAAAGTCATGAGAAACGGGTAGGTGCTAGGTGGTCTCCACCCGATAGTTAAGAAAACCGAGTAGGTGCTTTGTGATCCCCATTCGGTAGTCACTAAGAACGGGTTGGTACTGTGTGAATTCCACCCGATAGTCATGGAGAGTGAGATGGTGCTGTGTGAACGCCATCCGGCCGTACCTCCGGTAAGACGAGGCCATGATGTTTAGTAGAAACAGAAATAGAAACAGAAATAGTATAAGGAAAGAATTAAGAGTTATACATACGAGGACAGACAGTTAGAGGGTTTTACTTACTGAGCATTATTTTGTGCTCACCTCGTTATTTTCCTTTGTGGATGCAGGATCTAGGTGTTGATGCGGTCGGAGCGTCGGCAAGCGAGGAGCAATAGCTACACTGTTTCCCCTGTTTTGTCTTTTAAAAAAATGAATCTTTTGTAAACAACACTTTTTGTGTATGCAAGACATATGAATTATAATGAAAAGAAAACTTTGGGCCCAATTTTCTATTGTTATTATGCATGCATTGTACTAGTTTTCAGCAGTTGTTACAATGGTAGCAAAACCGAGCAGTTAATTTCAGAAGTAAATAACGGCCAAACGATTACACATACCCAAGGTTTTCTATAACAACAATTTAGTACCTAAAAGATTTAGAAGCGACAAACAGGTACCTTCCGTCATGTTTGATTAGTGATTTCTGTTTTCTAATAGTGAAAAGACTAGAGTGCCCTTGATAGTTTGATATTTTAATTTTTTATAAATTTAAAAATTTCTAAAAAACCCCATAGGTTTGCTAATTTAACTAAACACCTCAATATATAAAAATTTTGTAAAATTACAAAAACACCCCCATCACCTGCCATGCCGGATTCCGGCCACCACCGATGGAATCTGGTCAAAAAATTGTGTTACGACACAGATCCATCGGATCTGTGTCGTAATGTGTCGATCTGGCCTTTTCCGGCAAGATCCGCCACGGATCTGGCCGAAAAGGCCAGATCTAGGCTAGATCTGGCCGTTGAGGCCGCAAAACTCCACGGCCAAATCTTGGCCATCGTTGACAGACAACGACAACCACATCGTTGGCTGTCGATGGCCAAAGATGGAGTTTTGCGGCCTTGACTACCAGATATGGCCGTAGATCTGGCATTTTCCAGCAAGATCTGTGTTGGATCTGTGTCGTAACGTAATTTTCTGATCAGATTTCGGTGATGGTGGCTAGAATCTGGCACTGCGGGTGGTAGGGCTATTTTTTTCATTTTATAAAATTTTTATATACTAGGGTGTGTGGTGTTTAGTTAAATTAATAAATCTATGGGGTTTTTTAGAAATTTATAAAAATCTAAAATATCAAACTTTATTGGCATTCTATCTTTTCACTATTAGGAAACGAAAATCACTAATAGAACATGATGGAAAGTATCTGTTTGTCGTTTTTAAATCTTTTAGGTACCACTTGTCATAATGGAAAACCTTGGGTATTCGGCAGTTAATAACAGAGGAAGTGTGAACGAGAGTAGAGCAGTGAAAGCTGGAGACCAATCACTACTTTTATACGGTTCTCTCTTGTACTGTCACATCAAGTTATCAACAACAGAAGAAAAGAAACGTCAACAACTACTGCCTTCCTTATTAAATTTTTCCTAGTATTATAATAAGCGGTCAATTATTGAATTTTTTTTTTTTTTTTGGTTTATCAAACAAACAAATACAAATATACCTCAAAAACGAGAACAAAACTGGAAGAAAAGAAAAAAATTTCATGCCTTCATGTTCAACAACACGTATTGAGTTATCCTTCATCTACTTGTGGAAAGGTTGAGGACGCCTTCATTGTCAACTTCACTTTGTAAGTATTTTTAGCTCTTGGGCATTTGTTTTTTCGTTTCTCTATTTAAGTTTAGCTTCGTTTTTTAAGGTATTGAGAAGAGCTGGAAACGGTTCCTTTTTGCTTTGTTTTTATGGGCTGAATTTATCTTTTGAATGGGAATTGGGATTTTTTTTTTTTTTTTTTTTTTTGTGAATTTTAGAGTTTGAATTTTGGTGGGGATTTGATACATATTATAATTCAGTTGTTGTTGGTTAGTACGATGATTTTTTTGTTATGAGCCTTACTTGATGATTGATGTTTTTGTTTACCCTTTTGATTAAATGGATTTGGTGATCTGGGCATGAACCAGAATTTCTGATGTTGAACTGTAATTTGTGTTTATAAGGCATGGCTATGTGAAAAGGGAGATACCAACTAAACATCATTTACAGATATGAATTGTGGATGCTTTACTGGCTCATCTAAACACAGGAAAGGGGATGATGTGCCGCAGGCTTATCATGGCGTAGATGGTGAGGACTTTGTTAAGGAATGATTTCTTATGTTGAACGTTCAATCAGCTTTTTATATAAGTAAACTCTAAGTTAAATCTATTTGGTTGTGTGGATGTTTTTGTATGCAGTAAAATTTCAATAGCATCAACATTTCATGGGTGCTTCATGAACTTATGGGACATTTCTTATGGGAATGAATCATTGTATTTTGTATATGATTTATATTGAGTCAATTGTTGTTGTTGGTGTAAGTTAGAAGGGTGTATCAGTTTCTATTAACTTCTATTTGACTGTTTATAAGCATTATGTAATACATTTTGGCTGGAATTGAAGGCATGAGCACTCACATGTGCTATTTTCTATATGAACTGTGTGCAAAAGATTATTGTGATGTAACTTGATGCATAACCCTTTGTTGTAACACAGAAACAATTTACGTGTGGACTAAAGACCCTTTGTAGGAGTACTGTTCTTTTTTACCAATAGATCCTAGTTCTTTTTTCTCTTCAGAATCACTCCTCCTTACAGTTACATCTGTTCTATTTTTGTCAACTATAAGGATTTATCTTAAGAAGATATTTACCTGCATCTGCTGCAAGAAATTGCCTTCAACCGTATCTTGTAATTAAAATTTCAGGTAAATATACCATTAGTCCAACCAGCATGAACAGTGGGTAGATTTGACCTGCCAACACAACCTTAACAATTATGACATGTTTCCTGTGTCTCTTTTATTATTTTGTTCAAAATGGGAAGCCAAAAATGTTATTCTAATATGAAACGGTTATTAAGGTGCCTTTGCCAACTTCTTGAAGTTTTAAGCTATCTAATGCCCAATTAATGTCAGACGATATTCAAGGAAACTGGTTAAAGTACTTTGATGGATCATCTTAATTAAATGCTTTAGTTTGTTTTAGATGCCATTTCAGATGAGCTTTTGTTCTGACTCCTGTTGCGTATTTTATCACTTCACAGTTCCTTTTTCTTGCTCATGCATTTGTATGATTTTAGCTTTGTTCTCTTAATAAATTCTTTTGTTGCTTCTCTTTTTGATGTTGTCTAGGGCAATTACGAGGAAATGTCAACTATTTTTCCTACAAGGAATTGAGAAAGGCAACAGAAGATTTTCATTTAAGTAATAAGATAGGGAGAGGAGGTTTTGGAACTGTTTACAAGGTACACCAAAATCTGCAGATGGCTTAACCTATTAGGATGAAATATGGAACACTATTCAGTATCTTTCTGCATATTATGCATTCACTTCTTGATGGGCTAAATTTATGCCATTTATTTTTGTGGAAGGATATAAGTCACCCATATAGACTGGGGATCAGACATTTCTGTCCTTTTTCATTTTCTCTAAAATAATTTGTATGAAACCTGGTATCCTTTGGCTTCATGCTTTCCTACTATAACATAATGGTAGTATAACACAGGATAAGGGTATTGTTTTAGTCCATCTCATGTTTGCAAAACCTTTTATATGTATTAACTTGGTTGCCATGTTGCCAGGGAGTCCTAAAAAATGGAAAGCAAATTGCAGTAAAGACACTTTCTGCTGAGTCAAAGCAGGGCGTGCAGGAATTTAGAACTGAGGTCAATACTCTATCAGATGTCAAGCATCCGAACCTTGTTGAGTTGCTTGGGTGCTGTATTCAAGGAACCAAGAGGATATTGGTCTATGAATATGTAGAAAATAGCAGTCTTGATCGTGTATTATTAGGTAAATTCAAGCAGAAAACTGGAATTTAGAATTTTATACTGAGGAAGGTGAAGGGATAATTTTTTTTTCCTTTTCAGGTTCAACAAAAAGAAATTTAAAGCTGGACTGGAAAAAAAGATCTGCTATTTGTGTGGGTATTGCTAAAGGTCTTGCATTCCTTCATGAAGAACTTGTGCCACATATTGTGCATAGAGACATCAAAGCTAGTAATATACTTCTTGACGAAGAGTTAAACCCGAAGATAGGAGACTTTGGATTGGCTAAACTTTTCCCAGATAACATCACTCACATTACCACAAGGATAGCAGGAACAACGTATGTGATCTTTCAACTCTCCAGCTATTTCCTATTTGTTGTTTGTCATTGTACCTTCCTTGCTTTGGTTTAAGACTGACAAGAGAATGTTACTTGAGTTCCTGTCAAAAATTTTGTTGCAACGAGTGATCACTTTAGGATTTTGTTGGTGGCAGTGTGGATTTCCATTTTATAGGTTATTTATTGGACCTCACAGATGCTTATTCTGAATTAGACATCTTATTCATGCTGCTATTATTTCTACGGTTAAGGTCACAGTTAAGTCAAGCAGGATAGCTAGGCTTATGGTTTATAACATATTAAATTGTTTTAGGCATTTATGGACTGCAGTAGTGAACAAGCAGATTATCAACTTGGTTATGCAGTGAGAACTACATAGATGTCAACAGAACACCAGAAAAGAGAGTTAAAATAGAGAAATTTATCTAATTTTAGATGCGCAAGCAAAGAAAAGTTTCATAGTGTACTCTTGAGGCTAGTAGTCAAGCATTTGGATAGTATTGATGACAATAAAAGAGAGATTTTATTGACAATCTCAAAATTTTGCACAGGGTTATCTGAAAGTAAAGAACATTTGCTTCTTCACTGTTTCTTGGACTATTACTGATGAAATTCAGTGTAGATGTGTATATGTGCAATGCATTGAAATACTTCCACTGCTTTTTTATACTTCGGCCAACTTCCGTTCCTGCTCCCAAACCTCACTCATCTTGAATGGTTGCACTTTGAATTATTTATTTTTTCTCATTTTGTAAAATTATTTGCAACTAGATTTTCATTTCACTAGCTCGCTAAGTTGGGACATGTCAATGTGACTTGAATTTTTCCCTTCCAAGGAACATTTATTGAGTCTTTGTGACACCCAAATAAGCAGAGAGTTGTGTAGAATAGTATTTTTTGCACCACTCAAAGTTCTTTGCAAAAATTAAGGTTATAAGCGAAAGAAAACGCAGATCAACTAATGCTGTGATTTATTCTGTAGTGGCTATTTGGCACCAGAGTACGTATTGGGTGGACAGTTGACCATGAAGGCGGATGTTTATAGTTTTGGAGTCCTTGTACTTGAAATAATTAGCGGCAGAAGCAGCGGAAAGCCAAACTGGGGGGACATGTCAAAATTACTTCTGGAATGGGTGTGTTGCTTTCCTTTTTCAGTTTCTGAGGTTTATTGATGAATAAGTATATCATAGCTGTTTTCTTCTTTGCCATGTTCCCTTCCTTGGTTTCGCTTTCATATGTTTGCTTTCTGACAATTTTCCTGGTGAGGGTCATTCTTCAAGAATGGATCATTTTACTGGTGATAATTTGTTTTAACACTTAATTTGCTGTTAGCTCAATTTTTTGGAGTTGAATATTCATTTTTTTCTTATGTATTCGTGAAAGAATAATTTGCAAAATAATTCTATATAATGACCGGTCTTTCCTTCTATAGGCATGGCAGCTTCACGAAGAGGGAAGGCTCTTGGAGCTAGTGGATTCGGAGATGGAAGAATTTCCACCAGAAGACGTAATTAGATACATGAAAGTAGCTTTCTTCTGCACGCAAGCGGCAGCCAGCCGAAGACCACTGATGAGTCAGGTTGTTGAAATGCTTTCAAAGAATATTCGACTCAATGAGAAGGAACTTACAGCCCCGGGTTTTTTCCAAGATTCGGAAAGTAGTAGAGGAACTTCAAGTAAAAAATCAGCCGACTCTACTGTTAGTCAGATGAGTTCAGTACCAATTACCATCACTCAGGTAACCCCTAGGTGAAAAATGATATATATTCTTGCAGTTGATCCTCAGATGATCAACAAAAAGAAGAGCTTTGGTTGATGAGCAAAAGAATTATAGGGAAAAAAAACAAGACTTTAGGTACAGTAGAATGGAAGATTATTTCCGGAGCATGTTGATGTAAGTTGTAAGTTGTTCATTTCTCTAATAATAGTTGGTTCATGCCTTCATGGGTTAATTGTTAATTGAGTGATTTATTTTGTTGATGTGGATTATATGCAATGTGTTAGGATCCCACATTGAAAGGAAAAGGGTGGGTATGTGGGTTATAAAGGCTTGGACACCTTTCCTTGGCAAGTCAATTTTCCAAGGAGAGTTCTACTCAAGCCCATAAAAGACTCATGACCCAGCCCAAATTGTTGAGTTATTTGGGTAGGTTTCTATTAATTGGTATCAGAGCATGATCTTGCGTACGCGTGACAGGCTGACCTTGGCCCCGGACCCCTACCCCAAGGAAAGGGGATCCGCGAAATCACTTAAGGGGTAAAGAGATCGACGTGGAGCTCACGCAGTAGGACTCAGTGGGCTCCCTAAGGGGTCGAGAAGGAGAGTTGCTGACAGGCTTTTAGGCGAAGTAAAAGACTTAAAGGGAGGGCAGTAAAGGCCAATGAGGGCGGGCGCTTTTTGAAAAAAAGACCAACGAGGGCGTTGGGTCTTGAAGCGTGGGGAAATGTTAGGATCCTACATTGAAAGGGAAAAAGGTGGGCATGTGGGTTATAAAGGCTTGGACACCCTTCCTTGACAAGCCCGTTTTCCAAGGAAAGTTCTACCTAAGCCCATAAAAGGCCCATAACTTAGCCCAAATTGTTGAGTTATTGGAGTAGGTTCCTATCATAATGCAATGGCGGTTCTGTTTTATGAATGCTTTTATTATTTTTTCTTCGTCTTGATGACAATGAAATGGCAAAGAATGATTTACATTGTGCTAATAAATGAAATGGTTTTTATTTTTTCTAATGATCATCCCCTAACTACCCTTATTAAGAATTAAAGAATGATTCAAATTCAAAACCTCTTAAATAATACCATTGTTTTAAAACCCGGACCGGAGGGCAAACCGTTTTGCTGTCCGGGTCACGGTTCAATCGGTCCAACCGGTTGGACCGGTCGGTTGGACCGGTGATGTCAGCAATATTTTATTTTTAAAAAATTACATATTAACCCCTTAAATCTTAATATATTACAAAAATTCTCCTAAAAAAGTTTAAATTGGTCCCTAAAATTTTTATTTATTCCAAAAATACCCCAATAAAATTACCAATTAATCCCTAAACTTTTGATATATNGAGTGGGCATGTGGGTTATAAAGGCTTTGACACCTTCCCATGGCAAGTTAATTTTCCAAGGAGAGTTCTATCCAAATTCATGAAAGACCCATGATCCAACCCAAATTGTTAAATTATTGGAGTAGGTTCCTATTAATTGGTATCAGAGTATGATCCTGCGCACGTGTGGCAGGCTGACCTTGGGTCCAGGCCCCTACCCCAAGGAAAGGGGATCTGCAAAGTTACCCAAGAGGTAAAGAGACCGATGTGTAGCCCACGCAGTAGGACCTAGTGGGCTCCCCGAGAGGTCGAGAAGGAGAGTTGCTGACAGGCTCCTAGGCGAAGTAAAAGACTTAAAGGGAGGGTAGTAAAGGCCGATGAGGCCGGGTGCTCTTTGGAAAGAAGACCAACAAGGGCGTTGGGTCTCGAAGCGTGGGAGAATGTTAGGATCTCACATTGAAAGAGAAAATGGTGGGCATATAGGTTATAAAGGCTTAGGCACCCTTCCTTGGCAAACCGGTTTTCCAAGGAGAGTTTTACCTAAGCCTATGAAAGACTCATAACTCAGCCCAAATTATTGAGTTATTAGAATGGATTCTTATCATAATGCAATGGCGGTTCTATTTTATGAATGCTTCTATTATTTTCTCTTCATCTTGATGACAATGAAATAGCAAAGAATGATTTACATTGTGCTAATAAATGAAATGGTTTTTATTTTTTATAATGATCATCCCCTGACTACCTTTAAAGAATGATTCAAACTTAAAACCTCTTAAATAGTATACCTAAAAATCTTAACTACTCGATTACCTAAAGATAGTTATAATTCTTCTTCCTAATTATTTTTTGTGATGGTATAACAAAAGCCGCTAGGATCCTCTCGTAAACAAATCAAGATTTAAATTTGGTAATTACAAAATAAAAAGAATTGAATCAATAAATAAGTAAAAACACCCGTGTCATGAGATCTTTAAAAGCTGAAATCAAGAAACCTAAATCCCTGAGGAAGTTTTGAAACAAAAACAAAAATTGTCTGGAAAAATAATTTCATAAACCATATTGGAACAATGACCAACTCGAAATATCAATTCATACAATACTTCCAAAGAGAATAAGAACGACACTCCACGGTCTAAGCCGTGGAGAATTTGAGCTACCCAGACATCATCCTTGTATGCTTAAATCTTAATGAAATCTTCAACAAAAAGAATAAAAATCTTAAGATTTAAAAAGGAGTAAAAGAATAGAACAAGAGGGAGCTGTAGAATATGTAATGTAGTCAATCATGCAGCCAGTGTTGGCTCGGGTTCTGTGGCAGGCTGATCATTAGCAACTGGAGCACCTTCTTTGGGTGGATCTGAAGAACCGTTTGAGGTGGCATCTTTAGCTGGAGACTCGGGCTTCCCTTTTGCCGATGCCACAGCCTTTCCGTCCTTTCCATTTGTGGCGTCCTTTCCGTCTTTGGCATCCTTTGCCGGTGGTGGTGGGGGTGGGGGTGGCAACATGTGAGGTGGAGGGTTGTGTTTCAGCTTCACCAGAATATGCCGCATTCTTGACAGATCAGTGGGTTTCCCCGGCTTAGGACCCTGGACGACTGTTATTGACGGTTTCTTCTCTTGGTCCTTCTTTCCTCTCTTCTTCTCAATGTTGGGAACCTCATTAGGAATGAGTTCTGCTATTGCTTTCCAGTATTGCTTATCGGCCTCCTTATGAAACTTCTCTTGATTAGCCAAATATAACTGTTCCAGACACAAACCAGATTTATTAAGTGTCAACAAAGCCCTGCAGTCACTAAACTAGGATAGTCAAATTTCCTAAAGTTATATACCTTCTCCCTTTCTCTGTTATTAGTCTTGTTAGTCTCTATATTCAGCTTTCTTTTCTCATAGAAACCGCGTTTATACTCTTCAGCTTCTTCAATTATCTGAATTCTCATCTCCTTCTCCCTTTTCTCCTTCTCCTCAAGTTGAATTGCATTTTGACTGCACCAGGAAAATGCTATTTCAACACAATAAAATCTTCATTGGCAGGTAATCAATACAGCTATTACTCCTTTATAATATCCACCAAGAACTAACACGGATAGAGTTCCTATTAAAAGAAACAGTTAAAGAGGCCTTAAATTCTATATAAAGTGTTTCTTTCATGAGTGGCCTAATAAATAAGCTGTGCAGTTACCAGATGTAGAAGTATTCTCCATTATTTTGGTGATTGGAACACAGGCTCAGAAGCCTGGCATCATGCACATATTGCAATCTAACAACTTAACAATTCACAAAGGTCTTCCTTTGCCTACGGAAAAAATTGACGACTCATCAATACATAGAGCTTCTTCTCAAAAGTAATATATACAAATTCATCAATACTATTATTTTTTGCTATGAAACAAAAAGTTCATCAATACTATTAGCTTTTAGAAAGTTCTATGAAAGCTGCAACTTACACACTTTGCAAAGCATAACGTACACCACAGGCACAAAGACTATAGGCTATCAACAACTCATGTAATTGGATTCTTGAAACACAAGAAAACATGCAGCATACATCCACTCTAGGAATTTCCTAAAAGATCTATATACATTGTCATTCTAACTGGGTAAGATCGTGACTGTTTTCACAGTAAAACATCAAATTATGGCAGTTTCTCATTTACTACAAAGCCAAACTTGAATTTTTAAGGTCTAACAGTTGAGAGTAATGGTATTTGTACCCTTCTGGCAAAATAACTCCACCAAACATTAACTTCAATGGCTCATAAATCACCGCAATACTATTAAACCCACAAGCTTAATCCAAAGAAACTGTCCAAAAATAGTATTTAAGTTCAGATAATCCGCTCATTTAAAAGGTTGGATCTAATTAGAGGCTTGTCCTGTGGATCCAAAAACAAGCTCATCTCACTGTGTTGATATCAGTTAATAAATAAAATGGAGGGCTTTTCAAGATTGAAGGCACAAGATCTTTAGGTCAAATATGTCAGGGTATTAAATCTAACAACCATTAACCTTGAACCACAATTAGCAACTAACCATGGTATTTAAGTTCTGCATTCCCCACATGCATCTAGCTCAAATCAACATAAACTTCTTACATGAGGGAGATATAATAGGCCATGTCATTTAAAGAAAATCAATGTAAGACTTAATGGCTCTAATTCAAAATATGGAGCATAATCTAAAAAAGATTGGATCAAAGTAGTGACTAAATAACTTGTGAAATCTTAAATGTTTCAAAAATTGTGTTAAAATACACTTCAGCTTTGCATCTAACAACAATGGATTTAGAATACTATTCAGTATAAACTCAATCTTCCAAAATTAACATAATCTAAAATAGATTGGATCAAAGTAGTGACTAAATCTAAAAATTTCCTAATTCCTAGACAACTGCATGCGCAGATCTTTTTCTTTCATATCCATATGAAACTGGGTACATGTATTAATAAAAATACAGTATAATATAAGCATCAAAGAAAAGCACAACAACCAACAGCTAAAATAAGCAATTTCACACATACACATGCACACCAAAAGACATAATTTTCAATAGCCAAATAAATTCTATTGGATCATAATAAATCAGGCTACCAACAATGAGGATGAATATGTCTAAAATAATTCAGAGCCTAGATAAAACAAACTAACCTCAACAGTAATTGTTTCACAAAAGGAAGGAACCATTTAAATTTCTATATATTTACTAAAATCAAACGACTAAAAAGCAAGAGAAACCTCAATCTAACAGTAACAAAGTTAAAACACAGAACCAATTTGGTAACCCAAAAAGGATATTTAATTCAACGCAAGTATAAATTATGACTGCAGAACTAAGTAACAAGCTTCTAAATCTGAACATAGTCAAGCAACCTCAATAGACATAAAAACACAAAATTGAACCAATTTTAAATAGAGTCATACAATTTAAATAAAATACTTCAGCAAACTACATCAATCAAACTCCACGGAGCAATACGAATCACTGAATCAACTCATAACATTTGAAACATGGCACGGATCTGAGAAAATACACTAACTACAGCCAACAAAAAACACTTCAATTGAATAGATTATGTCAATCGTCACAATTTTCGAATAAGATATCACACACCAATGCAACAGTACTGTACACTAAATCAGATCTAACCACTACTGCAACAAACACGACAGATCTGGGCAAATCCACACACAACGCCACGACTAATTAACTAAAAGTTCATCAATTAACTTCACCAACAGTTCACCTAACTTAAATACACCTAAATCAAAGCTTAGCAAACAAAGCGATGGATCTGATAAGACAAACTAACCGGCGCCATTCGCGTAGAGCAAAGCCTTCCTCGGGCTCCATATCGGTGGGAGGCGGAAGAATCGGACCATCGGAAGCAAAAACGCCGTCATCACCATAACCATTACCGTTACCGTTACCATTCTCAACGTGAACAGACTCGAAGGGAGATTGAGAGTAGCCAGGTTCCGGATTGTCGTAACCAAAGATCTCGGAAGATTGAACGTGATCTACGGCCACGTCACCGTGATCAGCTGAGAAATCATCGGGAGCGGAGAAGTTAGAGTAGGAGCCGTAGTTGGAGTACTCTACGTCGTCGTTGAAGGGATGGCTATTTGAAGTATGGATTTGATCTTCGTTCTCCATGCTGAACGTGTCAAACGACGACGACATTGTGAGAATTTTGCGGTGAAATTATTGATTGAGCTTTTGGTTGGTTCAAATCTGTGTCAAAGCTCAGGTTTTCTATTTTCTTCTGTTCGGTGGTTTTATACTCTGCTTAACTAAACAAGGAAAAGGGAATGATTCTTCCGGAACAACAAAACGACGTGGTTTTGGAGTTTGGTGAGTGGCGGTTGTGATTGTTGCCTAGGCAACGGCGCAACGCAACAATAACGTCAATTTCACTGTTGGGAAGTGAGTCTAAATTATATTTTTTAACCATGTTGTCTAAAATCTTTTTTATTTTTTAAAGAAAATATTTTGATGACTATAAACTAAACCCTCTTCAAATTAAGCAAAAGAGCAAACGACATGTTCCTACCCAAAGATTGGCAAAAACGTAAGTTTCCACCCCTAATTTCATCTATATCAGATCCGCACCCTTAAAGTAACACATTCAATGAACTCTATATATGTAAGGGTACAATTACCAAATAACCCTCCATTCTTCTTTGTCTTCCCCTCCTCATCTCCATTGCCATTGTCATCACCCAACCACTGTTGGTTGTGGCTTTTTTTATAGACAGATGGTGGGCGCTAGTGGGTGAGTGGAAAATGGTTGTTTTTTCAACAATCTAATCTCCCAAAATTCAACAAATTAACCCCAATCAATAGCCAAACAAACTACAAACAAAAACTTCTACAAAAATCACTCTCAAACAACTCCAAAAATCAAATAAAACCAACCAAAAGTGAAGAAGAACCCATTTTGAAGTTCTTTCGCCACTCCCGCCTCATTGACGCACCGTCGCGCTTCCTTTGCTACTCCCGTCGCGGTCAGCGACTTTTGAAGTTCTCCTGCAACAACCCCACACAAAACCAGCCCCCCACCTTTCCTTTACCGTTGCAAAACCCATTTGTGAACGATAGTTTGCTCGACACCTGCGCGTGCGGAGAAGGCCGTTGTGCCTCCTCTCCCCGCACCTGCCACTCCCGTCCTCCTGCACCCCCCGTCAACCTCATCGTCCAGCTGCCGCCAAACGCATCTAGTGCGCCTTCGCGCGACAAGGTTTGTTTTTCCAATTGAGATTTGATTGGAGAAGTTGATTGAATGTAGTTTGTTGGGATTTTGAGGTGTACTCATGTTGTGAATTGAAGTTATTGGTGTTGGTGGTGGAGTTGGAGGCGAAAAGGAAGGGTTGGGTTTGCAGAAATTTTGAAATGGATAGGGTTTATCATTTTTGGATAAAAGACCTAAATACCCCCTTAACCGTTATATTAAACGATTTTCGTTGATTTAAGGGTGAGAATTTGAAATAAATGAAAACATGGGTGGAAACTTGCCATTTCGCTAAGCAAAATTGGTAAATTTAGTAAATTTGACCACATTTCAAGGGAGGTAATGTGAATAACTCGCCTTCATCTACATACTCACTATGGTGAGATTAAAAATCCAAATACCTTGTTACCAGAGAGATATCAAAATTATCCTTAAGGTTTCAAATTTATCTTTTGGATGACAACTTTCACATTTTTATTAAATGGACCCTCAAAATTTGAAAATTATATGATGAATACCCCTTTCTTCTAACTCTATTATGTTGTCGTTTCTGTAAGATGGGTGAAATGATAATTTTTTTCTTATAAGAAAGTGTTGAGATAAAATGGTAACTTTAGTCTTATAAGAATGTTTTATGTATACCTAACAATAATGTAACAAAATTAAAACAAAGGGGCATTTGTGATAAAAAATTTCAATTTTGAAGGTCAATTTGATAATGCGAAAGGGTATTAGTGATGCGTTTTCAAATTTTAGGTTTCATTCAATAGAAATGCAAAAGTTATTAGCTAAATGTAAATTTGGAAAACTTAAGGGTAATCCATAATATTCTCCCCTTGTTACTATCTAGGCTACATTGAAGTAAAGCCCTATATATATGAAAAAACTACATTGAGCACTTGTAAGTATTAAAAATAGCACAAAAACCCTTGTACCATTAAAAAAATCTTATAACTTAAGAAATGACATATTTACCCCTAAAACCCTAAACCTTTACCCTTTGCCCTTGCAATCACTTAACTTGTTGCTGTTGACGGTTTCATGGTGTTGCTTGAGGCTATAGATATCTTGTAATGCCGCTTGAGGCCATAGAGGTCTTGAGTGATGCTAGAGGCCACAAAGGCCTCATAGTAGCTAAAGAGCCCTCTCAATATTGCTAAAGGCCAAAAACAGCCTTATGGTATTGGTTAAGGCTACGCAACGTCGACAAGGCATATGGAGAAAATCTGACCTTAGTGGCATCTCCCGATGCTAGATCCAACCTCGAGGGTGTCATTTGAGGCTAGATCGGGCCTAATTGATCACGCCAATGGTTAGATTCAGCTTCAAGAGGCTGTTGGAGGTTGGATCTAGCTCTTTAAGACTTCTAGAGGCCAAATCTGGCCTCGATAGCTCCAAGAGGCCAAATTCGTCGATGATCCAATTGTAAAGGAAGTAGAGGGAGAAAGGGGGAAAAATAAATAGGCGAGAAAGGGAAAAAAGAGAAAAAGAAATGAAGAAAATATAATTATACAAAAGGTCAAAATTACCCTTTAGTAAAAATTGAGATCTTAACTATAACCCTTTCATCAGTTAACTTTCACAATGAAACCTCATTGAATGGAGGCTAGGGTCTTATTTTCAATAGTTGCGGTGTAAGGTTTCAAATGAAAAGCAGAGAAAAATGAAGAAAAGAAGCAAAGAGATTTCTGGAAAATTTTGTGTATAGAAAAATGAAGAAAAAAAAGCAAATGTTTATTTAGTTATTTGGAATAGTATTTTTGGAATATTATTGATAGGTAAAGTTGGGTGATTATTACGAGGTAGAATTTAAAAACTAACAAAAAACCCCATAAGTTTGCTAATTTAACTAAACATCCCAATATATAAAAATTTTGTGAAATGATAAAAAAACCCCCACCCACCTAAAGTTGCCAGATTCCGTCCACCACCACTGGAATCTGGCGTTACGGTGCACGATCGACCGGATCTGGTTGGTCATGCGTCGATCTGGCCTTTTTCAGATAGATCCAACACAGATCTGGTCGTCGTTTCGGCCAAATCTATGGTGGATCTACGTATTACAGGCCAGTTCCGGCTTGTAGTGCGCCATTGTAAAAGATTTCGGCCACTTCCGATGATGGTTGCTGAAATCTGGCAACTATGGGTAGATGGGGGTGTTTTTGTTAATTTATACATTTTTTTGTTGGGAGTGTTTTTTTTAATTAACAAAACTAGGGGGTTTAGAAATAGTTTCTTAATTTAGGATATGATTTTGAAAATAGGTAAACAAAAAATGCATTTGTATTTAGAATAGAGACAGGATAGTGGTGAAATAATGAAACAAACGCAGGAGATTTCTGGAAAATTTCGGGTATTAATTCTTATGAGTGAGTACAAGGTACAGTGACACTTTATAAGCTAGTGTGTTGAGTTGAAACAGTAACTAACTCTATTTGTTGTTAACGGCATTAATAACTTATTAACAAAACTTAACAGAGACTTAACAGCTTCCTTTACTAACATGTGGATTGTAATTTCATTATACATAATACTATTTTATGATGGAAATTCTGACAGGTCTAGCCTGAAGCTATAAGGGTGGTAATTGAATAATTTTCTAAATACTAAGGGTGATTTGAATCATACACCCAAAGTATCGAGCTTATACCTTCTGAAAGTGTTAATGTTAATTACATTCCCTGAAGCTATAAAAATTAATTTAGACACCAAAAACTTCAGAAACTACCATATAAACCCCTGCCTTTTATTTGAGAAGGGTAAAAATGGCTTTTAAATATTAGACTTAAAAAATTATTAAATTGAGTACACATTTTTATAAAAAATTATAAAAAAAAGAAACTAAAAATTTTGAATTTTTTTCGAAAAATAATCTAAAAATTGAAAAAAAAACTGAAAATTGGAAAAAAAAAAATTACAAAAACTGATTAAAAAAATCCGGAAAATAGAAAACTCAAAAACAATAAAAGAAATTCAGTAAAATTAACAAAAATTATGAAAATAAAGAACATATAAAAAGCTGATTTTTTTTTTTGAAAAATTTAAAATTAAAGGAAAAAAACTAAACTTAAACAATTTATGAAAATTTAAATATTTGAAATTTTTTTAAAAAGGACTTAAATCTTAGAATAAATTCATTTACTATTGAAAATATTTTAAAATTAAAAAAAAAAATCAAACAAATAATTGAAACCGTCAGATTTGGATATCTAAAGTATCATCTAACCTACACTAATCACACTCTCCTGGGCATCTTATTTCAGTTTAACCAAGACAAATAGACAAATTATATTAAATGACACTATTTTAAGCCTTGAATGAAAATTAGCATTTTTGGAAAGTGTCTCAAGAAATAACACAATCTTATTTCACATAAAATTTTTGGACCAAATTGCTCTATTGAAAAATCCCTAAACTTTAAAGAAAAACCATGCTTCAACTCTTAAAGTCCCAAGTGAAGACTTTGTTTTTGTGACATGGAGGAGCTATTTGAGCAGTATATTGGGTTACTAAAATGTTTAGAAGAGAACATTCGATAAATTTTCCAATTTGAAAGTTGTTCCAAATAAGAAATCATTGAGTATGTTGCATTTATGTATAAAAAACATGTTATGTGATGAGTTGTTGTTTTTATGGTTGTTTAAGCTTATATTAGTGTTGAGATGCTGAAAATGGGTGGTTTATACAGCTCTGGGTATGGGTATCGGAGGACTCGAATGAAAAATTGGTTGGACATTGAAAACGAATTTTGACCGACACTACCCCTTCGTCCATATTCAACCAACTTCACCCTTCAACACTAAAGTGGTCAAATATGCCTGAATCATGTCAACTGGTTGAATTTGGCCATTTGGACAGAACCTTACATGCTTGAATCTAGTCAAATCTGGTAGAATCCGATCGAATCTTAAGGTTTTGGCCAAAACCCACTTCTTCTTCTCCAAATGACTTGCAATTTTTGTCCAACAAGGTCATTCGGATCGGCCAAAAGCCCCTATCGTCTAAAAAACGATGGTCCTCATTATCTTTTCCACTAACGAGAACCATTAAA